ATTGTTACTCTATAGTATGAATAAATGTACATTTGCTGTCAAAGAATTATTTGTGAATGAAAAACACATACAACAAAGAAAACTTGTCAATTCTTTGAATAGATATAAGAAGATGTGGTATGAGTGCCAATGAGACAACTCTCCATCCAAGTCAAAATTTATAAAAGTAAACCATTATAGGTCAAAGTACGGTCTTCAACACGGAGCCTTGGCTCACACCGAACAGCAAGCTATAAATGACCCAAAAAAATACTAGTGTATAACCATTCAAACGGGGAAAAACCAACGGTCTAATCTATATAAAAAACGAGAAACGAGATGCCTATTATAATTTTGATGTCTCGTGGATTTTAATTTTTATCATATACATGTATATATAGTTATTTCAATCCCACGCTAGGAAGTACAGCTGAAAATAACACATTGCAAATATCACTGATTTTATTGTTTTGGTCCTTCCTGGATCAAAATGAACATGATTTATTTGAGAAAAAAAAAATATTATACGTCATGTAGGTTTATAATTATATGAACATTATAATGTGACCTATATGTGTTAGCTTATGTCATTTCGTCTCTGGTGGAGAGTTGTCTCATTGGCAATCATACCACATCTACTTATCTTTATATTCAATATTTCATTTCAACATGTTCAATGTGAAAATGTTTTACGAAATCATAGTGTATTGTTTTGTGTGTGAATGTTATACACACCATTTACAGTCCCTACATCTATCACCAGGAAATGCATCAAAATGATTTTAAAATTTTAGAAAGATGAATACACATGTTCAGAAACTTTTCCAACTCCTTGTGTTGTGTTGTTTCCTGTGGTCAAAACTAGGGAGAAATGTTTCTTACAGTTGTTAATCTAGTGATTGTGAATTTACACATTCTATGGATTATATGGATAAAGAACAAAACAGATGACTGTGATAAGGAGTGATCAGATTTACTACGCTTGAGAAATTAGGCATCCTGCTGGTGCTGTACACTATCAGAGTTTTAATAATGACAGAAGTAATTAAAGAGATTGCACACTCACTTCAATATCGTCTTATATACTTGTTAGATATAAAAACTTTCATTGTGTGATCCCCCAGTAAAATAATTTTTTTGACGGCAACCCCCCCCCCCCCCCAGCAGATGATATTTTTGGTAATGACCCCCTCCCCACCCTCTAAAATCAACCGACCCCTAAGCTGATAACTAATGACTGTTCCCTTATTAGCATCAACCGCCATACGAAGGTCGAAACCGTTGTACGATCATATAGATTACCATGAACAAAGCCATGGATTTTCCTAGGCTGAAACAGTGGAGGAGCGGTCACCGATCAAGAGAAGGGGTATAAATAAACGTCTATTGAATTTTTGAAAGAAAATGCATTTGTACAATTCATTGCCTTCATGTCGTTATCATGCGGTATATCTTATTTGTTTTTCGTTTATTGTTTTGTACATTAATCAGGCCTTTAGTTTTCTCATTTGAATTGTTTAGCATTTGTCATTTCAAGGACCTTTTATATCTTACTATGCAGTATGGGATTTGCTCATTGTTGAAGGCCGTACGGTGACTTATGGTTGTTTTAGACTTCTACGTCATTTGATCTTCGTTGGAGAGTTATCTCATTGGCAATCATACCACATCTTCTTATTTTTATATTTAGCTAAAAGTAAGGAACTAATCGTAAACCGCAACATGAAGTTGAAACATTCTGTATATTTTATTTCTAAAAAAAACATAAAATTTTTAGTAAAGCACCTTTTTCTTCCGTGTTCACTGGTGCATCACATTTTTCAAATGAATATTTATTTAATATCAATCAATAATTACATTATTTGTGTAAACCTCACCAAAGATACTTTACTCTTTAATTTATTCACCATGTAATGTAGGTGTAACATACATGTAGAAACAGCAAATAATAAAAATACACAGTTTTAATACACAGTCTTACGTTTTTTTCGGATTTATTGTATTTCGATATGATTATATTTCTTTACAAGTTTCTCATTATTCAACTCTTTTGTAAAATCCCAAAATCCAACCGCATTCAGCTAGAATTGTAACTTTAAAGTTAATATTCTTGAATTTTAAAGTTTAACAGCTCACCCGTTTACATACTTTAAAGCTTTTGTCGACATAAATGTGTAAAATCATAATCTGGTGTAAAATATTTTAGTTTCCATAATAATAGAAGTGACTTTAAAAGGATCAGTCTGTTTATAAAAAGAACAAGATGTATTCTATAATTTTGTCAATATGTTAGATCATGTCATGCAGTGTATGTTAGCCGAAAGAGGTGAAGACATGTGATGTATTTTTAAGCAAATTCTCCAAATATCCATACATTAATAAACAGAAAGATAAGAAATAATATTTGACATTAATAATAAAAGTCCGAAAAATAATGATATGTTAGCATGGTAGATTTAGAATATTATGTTCTTCATAAGTTTTTTTTTGTTGGCAAATACATCTGAAGAAGTTTGACATTTTTGTTTGAAGTGGAAAATACTTTATCCTGCATAAATCAGTAAACAAGTTTTCAATCGGTTTGAAATTAAAAAAATTCTGTTTTACAGAGGTTTTATAGTTATATACTCATCATCAAGTTTAAATAGCTCATTACAACGCACCGTTTCGAATGCATTGGTGTGTTAAAAGCATATTTGAGATGTCATTTTGTAAACAACTTCCAAAACTGTTACGCTTTGCATGCTACATGTAGATCTATGTGTGGTAAACTGTTAAATTTAAAAATTAAAATTAAAAAAAACCTACTACAACCTTCCATTGAGGTAAATTACAATTCAATTTCATTGCAAGTTCAAATTTCTTATGTAATTAATGTTGACAGTACCTTAGAAATAGACCCATTACACTATTATTTCAACAAATCTGTTATATATAGTAACTGAACAGGATGTTTTCTTTCAGTATGTACTGGATAAATATGCAATTTTGCTCATTTTAGACTAGGTATCCCCATAAGCCTGGAAATCTCGTGGAAGGTCACATATATAAAGCAGGAAAACGACTCCTATGTTGTATGTACTGTTATGTTAACGCTTGTCGTTCAATTCTATTATTTCCAATACTCCTAAAACTTCTTCACAATGTTTTCAAAAAGCAGTGTATTCTAATTAATTTTATATTTCTGATCCTGAAAGATCAGGTACTTGTCAGTATATATATATTCAAAATGTTGAATGTGGGCAGTATATGACATCTGTAATTATATGGTAATTTATCTTGTTATTGGTATAATTGCAGACTTGACTTATATGAATAGGGCTACAATGGTTCTATGTCATTACATCTCGTATTTAATCTGATGAGTCGGGTGATTTTTATCGATTGTTCTTGCAAGTTCCAAGTCAGGAGCCTGTAATTCAGTGCACGAATATCATTGGTTTTTCATTTTGATTTCTTTCACATTTTGTCATGCATAGGCATTTTATAGCTTCCTATACGGTATGATTCATACTGTTGAAGGCCATATATACAGTAACGTACATCCTCGTCCTTTCGTTTCTGGCAGATAGTTATCTCATTGGCAAATAATAACACACAAACAACTCATTCTGCTTTCCTATGTATACTACATGTATATTTAAGTGTATCTTATATTTTACACGTGTGTATCAATACTTGAAGTTGCCGATATAGCTTTGGTTTATATACCTTTTATTATTTGACAAAATATAATTGTTGTATTATAATTTGTTATTTATTTTGTGTCTTTGTTATCTATATTATCGTTATTTTAGAGTAACCATCTGCTTATTTATTGTATGTATCAAATGTTCGTTCATGTAAGTTTTTTTTAATCTAAGGATCGAGACTAAAAAGGGGGATTGAGTGTTTAACACAGTTTACGTATGCCTGTTCTAATTGAGAAATCTCGCCTTGTAATTGTAAAATTTCATATCTTGATGTTTTTCGATATTTGGAGAATTGAATGTTAATGACAGATCTTTGATTGTTTCTGCTAATTTCATTCATAACTTGTCTCTAGACATCTGTACAGTTTCGGGATGATTCAGAGCTTGACATATTCTATAGACATCTGTACAGTTTCGGGATGATTTAGAGCTTGACATATTCTATAGACATCTCTGTACAGTTTCGGGACGATTCAGAGCTTGACATATTCTGTAGACATCTGTACAGTTTCGGGAGGATTTAGAGCTTGACATATTCTATAGACATCTGTACAGTTTCGGGAAGATTTAGAGCTTGACATATTCTATAGACATCTGTAAGTTTCGGGAGGATTTAGAGCTTGACATATTCTATAGACATCTGTACAGTTTCTGGACCATTCAGAGCTTGACATATTCTATAGACATCTGTACAGTTTCGGGATGATTTAGAGCTTGACATATTCTATAGACATCTGTACAGTTTCGGGATGATTCAGAGCTAGACATATTCTATAGACATCTGTCTATTTTTTAAGACTGTATGTTCACTTCTTTAGATGTCTTTTGGTTGTTTTTTTGTCGTTTGGTTGCTTTCTCATTGACTGACACCCACATCTTCTCTTACTCTTAAAAAAACTAGTTTTCGACCGAAAAGGTGGACCTATAGACACAGCTGGATCTGATATGAACTTAAGCCCCCAAAATGTTTATAACAAGATTACTCTCAATAGAATAATGCAATTAACTTGATGATGTCAACTGTCCATTTGAATAAAATGTCCATAAATGGATGAAAAATGGATACATTCATATTGATATTTTTCAGTGAACACCAGTTAATGCAGTGCTTTCGGGAGCCTTTGTAGTTAGTTGCCCCTTCGAATCCATGCAGGTGCCTAAAAAGTTATTCTTTTGATATACTTAGAAACAGACAAATTAGAACAATTTTATATCCGTGACAATCACACTGAATCATGTGACGTTAGTTCATACAAAAGTAAACGTAATAAATAAATAGGTAAGACTTTTATCACAATTTTTTGACATGAATATATAATAATCATTTACCTTAAAGACTGCATGTGTATAATCCTAATAAAAGACAGAGAACGCCATAAACATTTTACAAAGCGTTTTTACCGGTACACATGCATTCATCCCAAACCATTTTATAATATGCGTGTCAAGTTGACCGTAAGAATAATGTTTGCATTACAATTTTCTTACCCTGCTTTTCGGCGTGTACAAAGTTTACAATTTTTCTACCTAGCTCTTTATATATGTTATCTTTTATAAACACAGTTTGTGTACGCCATGTAGCACTTGATTGATTTGTGTTTTATTTGATTATATCATCTACTGATGCATTTTTTTCGGGGTTATCAAAGAGTCATGTGACCCTTTGACACTGACAACTGCAAGAATTGTAAAATACTTTATAGAATTTCTAGTTAAAAAGCATCATGTACAAAAGTAAAGATAAATACGCAAGCTTAGCAACCGGTAAAAATAGATATTCCGTCAGGGCTCACACACATATATCTAACGAGGTTCTCAGTACAGACGTGCAGCCATATTATATCTTGCGTAGCAGAATCATAACCCAAACCACGGCTGTCATTCGCTACATCAACAAAAAAGGATCGTGAAAGAATAAGTAGCGGGGTTCGTGAAAGATCTGACATGGGATCGTCAAGAAAATATTATCGAGATGACAAATGCAAGGTCAATAGACAATCTAATCTGTTGAATTATAAGGACAAATTTTGAAAAAATAAAACTGTCTCAAAATGGTTCAATATTATGGCCGTTATCTTAGAAAACCAGAGTTTAAAATATCGCCGTTTTTTACAAAACCACAAAAGGCAGATTGCTCTTCGATTTTTTAATGACATAAAAATGTAAACAAACATGAGTTTTTTCTGTTATTTATATGAATGACTAAAATATATATGTTATGCATATATTGATGAACTTTCTCTCCAAAGTGATTTCTAAGTATCCTTTTTGAACAAATTACTATTCTCTGAACAATCTCGTTCTATTCTTAAGTTTCAAATGGCTCTCAAAATTATTTTTGAAGTAGCTTTATCAGAAAGTTGGTCCAAATTGGTATATTTGTATAAATCTGATATTTATGATCGTGAAAGATCGGATACCACTTTTTTTAAATCGTGAAATATCCGATGTCGCTGACTTGTCAGCGCACAAATTATTGAAAGTGTTCAATTCATTTTGTATTACATGAAAATTATTATTTTATTTGGTACAGATAACTAGAGGCTCTAAAGAGCCTGTGTCGCTCACCTTGGTCTATGTGCATATTAAACAAAGGACACAGATGGATTCATGACAAAATTGTGTTTTGGTGATGGTGATGTGTTTGTAGATCTTACTTTACTGAACATTCTTGCTCCTTACTATTATCTCTATCTATAGTGAACTTGGCCCGGTAGTTACAGTGGAAAATACTTTGTAAAAATTTACAAAAATTTACAAAATTTATGAAAATTGTAAAAAATTGACTATAAAGGGCAATAACTCCTTAAGGGGTCAATTGACAATTTTGGTCATGTTGCCTTATTTGTAGATCTAACTTTGCTGTACATTATTGCTGTTAACAGTTTATCTCTATCTATAACAATATTAAAGATAATAACCAAAAGCTGCAAAATTTTCTTAAAATTACCAATTCAGGGGCAGCAACCCAACAACGGGTTGCCTGATTGGTCTGAAAATTTCAGGGCAGATAGATCTTGACCTAATGAACAATTTTATCCTCATCAGATTTGCTCTAAATGCTTTGGTTTCAGAGATATGAGCCAAAAACTGCATTTTACCCAATGTACTATTTTTTAGCCATGTCGGCCATCTTGGTTCGCGGGTGGGGTCATCGGACACATTTTTTAAACTAGATACCCTAATGATGATTGTGGACAAGTTTGGTTAAATTTGTCGTAGTAGTTTCAGAGGAGAAGATTTTTGTAAAAAATTACAAAAAATTACGAAAAATGGTTAAAAATTGACTATAAAGGGCAATAACTCCTTAAGGATCAACTGACCATTTTGGTCAAGTTGACTTATTTGTAGATCTTACTTTGCTGACCATTATTGCTGTTTACAGTTTATCTCTATCTATAATAATGTTCAAGATAATAACCAAAAACTGCAAAATTTCCTTAAAATTACCAATTCAGGGGCAGCAACCCAACAACGGGTTGCCTGATTGGTCTGAAAATTTCAGGGCAGATAGATCTTGACCTAATGAACAATTTTATCCTCATCAGATTTGCTCTTAATGCTTTGGTTTCAGAGATATGAGCCAAAAACTGCATTTTACCCTATGTACTATTTTTTAGCCATGTCGGCCATCTTGGTTCGCGGGCGGGGTCATCGGACACATTTTTTAAACTAGATACCCTAATGATGATTGTGGACAAGTTTGGTTAAATTTGTCTTAGTAGTTTCAGAGGAGAAGATTTTTGTAAAACATTACAAAAATTTACGAAAAATGGTTAAAAATTGACTATAAAGGGCAATAACTCCTTAAGGGGTCAAATGACCATTTTGGTCAAGTTGACTTATTTGTAGATCTTACTTTGCTGAACATTATTGCTGTTTACAGTTTATCTCTATCTATAATAATGTTCAAGATAATAACCAAAAACGGCAAAATTTCCTTAAAACTACCAATTCAGGGGCAGCAACCCAACAACGGGTTGTCCGATTCATCTGAAAATTTCAGGGCAGATAGATCTTGACCTGATAAACAATTTTACTCCGTGTCAGATTTGCTCTAAATGCTTTGGTTTCAGAGATATAAGCCAAAATCTACATTTTACCCCTATGTTCTATTTTTAGCCATGGCGGCCATCTTGGTTGGTTGACCGGGTCACCGGACACATTTTTTAAACAAATACCCCAATGATGATTGTGGCCAAGTTTGGTCAAATTTGGCCCAGTAGTTTCAGAGGAGAAGATTTTTGTAAAAGTTTACGGACGACGGACGACGGACGCCAAGTGATGAGAAAAGCTCACTTGACCTTTCAGGTCAGGTGAGCTAAAAACTGAACTTCCATGACCTCCAGGCATAGATGGCCTTACCCAAATTTGGCATATTTTTTTGGAACCTTGCTTTTGAGTTCTCTTTAACTTCGTTATTTATTTGGCCCTCTAACTGTTTCGATTCGAGCGCCACCGTGTATGCTTATATTAACGAAACGCGCGCGTTTGACGTACTTCATTATAAGCCATGTATATTTTATGAGTTTTTACAACTTTGTAAAAGCCATCTATCATTCTTGCAGAAGAATATCGTTTTTGATAAGCCGGAAGCTCATAGCTAGATATTGATAACAAGATTGATAATAATTGATGAAGTCATTTTGGAATTTTTTCCAGTTTGTATTTAATGCAAGATGTTTGAATTCTATCAAATGTTTCAGACAAAATTTAATAGAGTCGATATCTGACAGTCTATAATGTCTTGTGGACATCTGAAGGATACTATTGAAAAGATTTATAATAATGCCAAACAAGTTACCATATCAGGCCTTCTCTATTTCCGTCAAATACACAATGTTTCGAGCAATCCAAAAATGTCTTTCCAAAGCCACGCTCTGAACATTTCGGTTTTGAAATTGACCGCGCAAACTTAGCCATCCGCACCTAAACCCCTTTGAGGTGATATACAACTGTCTTGAATAGACTTTGTGTGTCATGTCGAGTCCACTAACATTTATGGTTTACGACGAAACTGGAAGGTTTTCTTTATATTTCTTAGAAAATCAAGGATGTTTAGTCATTTGGAGAAACTATCAAAATCGGGTAACAGACTCGAGGGAACAGATATAATGGTATAATGCATCGATTGTTATAGTATATGCGCCAGTCTTGGTCATTGAAATCAAGGTGGATTGTTTCTCTTAAATTTCTTTTTGATGATATGAGTCTAAGCTGTTATTTGTTGATGACACTATTGATATTAAGATTTTGTGTGAGTAGCATATTTATAGAGACATGTAATACAATTATATTATATGTCTCTGATATTAATAAATGAATGAAAAGTATATGTATGTGTGTGTGTGTGTTTTACCCCAAATTCTTTGTTTAAAAGTTTAGAGGATTACTTTTCTGTTATGACGTGAAAGTAACAATTTGGCATCCCCCTTTTAAAAATTATTAGGATCTTTCTCTAGGCTTAAGACATATACATTTTTTACATACATATATTGATGAACTTTCTCTCCAAAGTGATTTCTAAGTATCCCTTTTTGAATAAATTGAATAAAAGTGAACCACAAACACGGTGAATCACATCTCACTACACATCATATGGATTTACTGTATTCAACATTGTGCCACTTGTGTCTAATCCGGGATACTTGTATTGTCAGTATGTACAATGTGTACTTCACATTATTAAGTCTAGTTCGTCATTGTTTAGATATCATATGCCTCTTGTTAATGTGTATGTTAAAATTTACAAATGATTTATATCTTTGTGTAGCGACATCGCCGCAGTTTCTGGGATGTATTGAGGCTGAGATTAATGATGTTACTTGGTTAAGACAATATAAATTTGACTGGCGATTTCAATGCTGACCGCTTTAGCGAGATCGATACAGTAACATGCCAATGCAATGAAGTCTAAAGATTTAAAAGTAAATGTTTGTGATCTCATTAAATAATCTTCGCACTTCACTGAACATTCATCTCGACCTACTGAGTGTACGTAAGAGAATGTAGACATAGACATAGACATAGACATATATCATTAATAACAAAGCCAATCATGGTGCCTTAAATAGAGCAGTACAATCATTTATTACTAAATTACTAAATAAAAGTTTTTATATAATCAGTACAATTATTACTCTAATGAGCTATTATTGTCTTATTATTTTATTATTTTATTGTTTAGATTGTTTATTATGTTATGAATAATTACATTGTAATCATTCTGCCCTTCAAAGTGGGTTTCATTGGGGTCTAAGCGTGACGGGGATTAGCCCGGATTTTTTGTAAGCGTGACACGTGAAAGTCAAATTATTGTGCGTGAAAATGGGAAACGAAGTCGGGCGGGACATGTGAAATTACAACTGTTATTATCACAATGATAAGCGGGATACGGGGATCTAACAAAACATATAAGATAAGCGGGATCCGGGATCAGAACA